CATCCCCGCCAACATCTGTCGTTCCCTGACTTGTTAATTTTAGCCATTCTGACGGGTGTGAGGTGGTATAATTTCACTTTTAACGAGGCCCGTGGAGAACCGGCTGGCGGAGTTCCGGACCCTCACGGGCTGCTCCAGACACCGGACACCAGAGGCCGGGGTGAGACCTGCCCACACGGTGGCCGTCAGCGAACCCCGCGGCCGCCACAGCCCCCGAGACCTGGGTGGGCCCTGCTCCCTCAGCAATTGCTAACCACGCCCGCGCTGATCTTGCAGGTGACGGGGAGCAGGGTCCCAGTGGGAACGCGAACTCGTCCCGAATGTCACTTGCCACCACACGGGATGGGACTCCGTCCCCACGGAAAGCGGTTACCCTTTAACGACCAACCCGCTCCCAGTTCTCCAACAGCCCCCTCAGCTACCAAACCAACATCTAGGGAATCTGTTCTTTCAGAGATAGACCTCCAAGGCTCCCAGAAAAGTGCAGTGTCTGTGGATGCGGCCTGTCCCGGCTGTCGCTTACCCTTTTCTGGGAGTTACTGGGGGGACGGCGACCCTGTCACAGCTCAGTGCTAGGGACAGGTTTGCAGCCTTCCTCCCGGGGAGCTGTCACCGTGGAGTCCCCCAGGCTTCGTCTTTCTGGGGCTGGAAGACGGGGTGGCAAGCGGGGGGCAGTGGCTGCGTGTCCTCGTGGCAGAGGGGCCCGCTGGTGGATCCCCACAGACAGGACGCGCTGCAGACGTTCCCAGAGCAGGCCGCAGAGCCGCGACACCGGGAGTGCTCGGGGTGGCCCGTGAGAAGTGGCACGTGTCTGTGGGGCCGAGGCCACGGGTGCCGGCAGGACCCTGACCCGGCATTGAAGGGCTGAGTGGGGAGCCCAAGTCTGCGATGGAATTCCTCTCACTGGACAATCCCCTGCTGGGGCACCAGCGACCACGCGGGGCTCTTTCGCTTGCGCAGCAACAAAGGTGGGGAGGGAGGAGGAGGAACGAGCTGGGGGCTGCCGGCCTGGCTGCCTCGGAGCAGGAGTGGCCCCCCCCCCCACCTGGGAAGCCAGCTTGTCCCAGCAACATGGGGGGGTTCCCTCCTGGCTTGGGGGTCTGGAGCACCCAGGGGACCCCTGGCTATGTCTGACGCGGGCAGTGTTGCCCGTGAGGACAGAAGCAGGAGCTTCCTCCCGAAGGTTCACACTGTGCATACCCCAGGCCGTCCAGCCTGTCCTTCCACCTCCAGGGTCCCCTGCCCTGGCGTTTCTCCTGGACGCGTCTGAGCTCTCTGAGGGCCTCATTGGAACACCCTGCTAGGTCCACTCCAGGGCTGTGCGCAGGGCTTTCACTCTCGGACTGCGAGCAACTGTGGATGCGGGCAACCGACTTGGCTCAGTCGCTGAACTCCCGGAGGAGAGGCAGGGGGCCCCGCGTCAAGCTCCCGGTCCATGCCCCAGATTTCCCGCCAGCAGAGCGACCTTCTGGAGGGTCTTCAGTGCCCCCTCTCCAGGATCTCGATCTACCGTGGGGCGTCCCAGTGAGAGGCTCTTCCTGGGCTGGTTTTGGAGATCAGCGAGGCTGATCCACACAAGTACCTGCCACGTGGCCACGGCTCAGAACGTTAGCAAGAGTGAGGGATCATTTCCCTGGGGACTCAGCCTCGTGGCCGTGGAGGGTGGGCCGGCGCTCCGGGGGGGCGGGGGGCAGATCCTGCCGTGGGGCTGCTCTGCGAGGGGCACACAAACTCTCTGTCACCCCATGTGCTCTGCTCAAGAGCTGTGAGCACCCCATACAGGGTCTTGCACATGGAAATTGCTTCCTAAATATGCATTCATCCCTGCCTTTGAGAGAGAGGAGGCATGCAGCTTAGTTTAGATCAGAGAGAAAGTTTGCCGAAAAAATCTAGAAGATGATCTCCAATTTTCCGAGTGTTACAAGTTTCAGCAACATCATAGATTGACCTTTTTTACCCTCTTCCACCTGCTGATTTCCCCGACCATTCGCAAGCGCTTTCGCTCCTCCCGACAGGGGGCAAGGAGAACGGGGGTCACGCAAGGGTTGGGTCTGGTTTTCAGCATTCTACCAACTTGGACAGCACTGCAGCAAAGTGACCCTGACCTGGTTCGGGCACAGCGTGCTGTGTAGACCGATAACGCTCGCATGTGACTGCAGTGCAGACTTACAGCTTAGTGACTCTGTGAGTCAAGGAGGAGCTTTGCTATTTGGGCTTGACACGGGTCACTGGAACGTGCTTCCGTCTTTAGGCCCACCCACCTATCAGAGAGTGGTTTCTTGGCCAACCAGGGAGTGGGGGGTGGCACGGAGAACATGCCCCGCCCCCAGGCCAGACCAAACTTTGCTCCACAAAATGTTATTGTTCTGAGGGTGACAGTCTCCTGACCACCTACCTGCGACTTAGCTCCGTAAGGCTACAGGACATGTCAGTGCGTTGATCAGGCTGTCCCACGCGGAGTGGCTCTTCTGAAGACCAGCCCAGAGATGAGGGAGCTGGACTAGAGCTCTCTAAGGAGCACTGGCTGTAGGTTTCTGATTAGGTCAGGGTGGCGCCCACTCTGAGGTCGCAGGGTCAGCAAACACACCACTCGACGTGTGTCTCTGGAGGACACGTGTACAGCAGATGGCAAAGGAGAACTGTGGGACCCCAAGACAGGTGTCCCTGATGAAGCCTCAGATGCTCAGGATCACACACGCAAAACCATATGTGTGGCTGGGGAAAGTCACTGCGGTCTGACTGGGAGTGCACGTAGCAAGGGAATTATCTTCCCCCAGCCTCCCCAAAAAAGCTTCATGTTTGTATCAGTCAGCTCAACCCAACAGAAGTGAGTACACAGACTGGGCATCGGAAAACAAAAGAGATTTATTCCACCCCTCCCACCCCCCCACCCCCCACCCCTGGTGCTGGAGGTCCGAGATCCAGGTGTGGCAGGGCCGGTCCCTCCCGAGGCCTCTCCTGGGCGTGCAGACACTGTCTTCTCCCTGGGTCCTCACGGGGTCGTCCCTCCGTGCGCGGCTGTGTCCTGATGTCCTCTCCTTATAAGGACTCCAGTCATATTAGACTAAAGCCCCTTAAGGACATTGTACCTTAATCATCTCTTCAAAGGTCCTATATTCAAATACGGCCACATTCTGTGGTCCTGGAGGGGGTACGGCTTCAACACATGGATTTTGAGGGGATACACTTCAGCCCATAGCAATGTCTTGGTCTTCTTCTTCTTCTTTTTTAAGATTTTATTTATTTATTTGAGAGAGAGAAAGAGAGAGAGAGTTCGCAGAAGGAGAAGCAGACTCCCCGCTGAGCAGGGAGCCCGATGCGAGGCTGGATCCCAGGACCCCGGGATCATGACCTGAGCCGAAGGCAGACGCTTAACTGACTGAGCCACCCAGGCATCCCTAGTCTTCTTTTTCTTAATAAAATACCATTTATAATTGTAAAAAGTTGATAAGCACATGGTAGACAATAGGAATCCATAATAGGAACCCTAACACATCTGTCCCCACCTTGACCAGAGACAGGATTTAGCCTTGGATGTTGATGCCCATCACTGTGGTCACCACCTGTGGCTCTGGCTCACCCCCGTTCAGCAATAAGGCTGAGGTCCAGCAGAAAACAAGGCTCCCCAGCTGATCACCAAGCTGCTCTCATATGTCTCTTGCTGGCTTCTGGGTCTTCCCTACCACAGCCCACCCCTTTGGCAAGCCCACCCAGTCTCCCAGATCCCCTGCTGGCACCCCTGGCTCCTCTGGGCTGAGCCATCACCCCCTGCACGCAGCAAATCAGCCCCTAAATGGGGGAGGGGGCCACACCTGCTGACATCTGGTCTACCTGTTCCACAGGTTGGACGCCATTTTAGCAGATTGTTGGAGAGGGCAAGCTCCTTCCTCAATGTTTGATTCATTACCTGGGACACTCAAACTTTCAATCCAGTGCAACACCCACGGCCGATGATGGGCAGCCCTCCCAGGGGTGCAGTCAGGATTGTGTGCACGCTGACCCGTGACTTCCGCCCACATGCGTGTATCAACGTGATCTGGAATGAGGATGACTTTCCCGCCCACGTGACCTTGATTCTGCTGTTTTGTTACTTGCTGAGGAACTCATGCTTATCTTAGCAGCTTATCACAGTGACAAACTCAGAGTGACCACAGGTGGAGGCGCTGTGCTTGTTGCAGGGCTGAGCGGGGCAGGGAGACTGATCGGCGCGGACGAGCTGGAAGATTCACCCCAGAAAGGAATGTTGGCAAGGAAAATTATTTACTTAGAAGTGCACGTCTAGGTTGGTCACTAGGGCCCTTCCAGGCTCTTTGGAAGAATGTTGGCATCCCAAATATGTGGCAAGAGCTGGGGTGAACAAGCTGCTTTGTGTCATTTTGTTTGGAGAAGGGAAATCTGCTTTGCTGAGAAACAGTCTCCACACCAACAGCAAGCAAGGGGTGGGAAATACACAGCGGCCCCACTCTCTGCGGCGAGGTCTCAGAAGCTAATGACGGGGCCAGCATTAGAAGAACACATCATTTTAAAATACTGGCAAATGTGTTTTTGTCCCACATTAGGAAAGTGATGTGAGCCCACGGTGGAATCCGAGAAAACCAGGAAAAGTGCAAGGTGAGCTTGCTGGCAGTCCTACGTCCCGGAGCTGGCCCCGCTCACCCCCCCGTAACGCCCTTCCTTCTCGCTAGGTTTCTTCTGAGCACATTTTCATGTACGGAAGCATGCCTCTCCCACACGGCTTCAGACAGTGTGAGCAAAGTCTGCTCTAGCTGAGAACATTCTTTGAGGCCATCCTTGTAAATGTTGGCATCCGGTTTCCATCTCCAGTCCCTAGTGAGGTCCCCCGGAGAGGCAGGCCGGGCCTGGAGCCAGCGCTCTGGGGCTCCAACGGCCATCTGGGGGTTTCCGTTTTGTTTTGCTATGAAGTGGGGACAGCAATACCTATTGAGAGGATAAAACCTGTGAATGATGGGGCGTCTGGGTGGTGCAGTCACTTAAGTGTCCGGCTCTTGGTTTTGGCTCAGGTTGTGATCTTGGGATGGCAGAGTGAGGAAAGCCTGGTCCCCAGGCTGGCTGTTGGCAGATGTGTGGTCTGTTGGTCTCACGTTCGTGGCTTTCCTTTGCAGAACGGGGGTCTACTTAAAAGGAACCCCGGAATCTGCTGGGCCCAGAAGGAAGTCTCAGTTTAAACACCAGGAGATTATCCAAAGGCTTGTCTTTCTTCAATGTTTGACTTATTAGAGTCGCAGCCTGGACTTGGCCCACACCTCGGCCTCATGCACGTGTCTTATCCTTGGTCTTTGCCTGGCTTCCCCTCGGAAACCTCTGGAAGGCCAGGCTTCATCTTCCCAAGTGGTGATGGGGATATGTCAGGTGTCTGGTTTCTGAGGACTTGCTCACTGCTCTTCTTCTTCTTCTTCTTCTTTTTTGTTTTTTTAAAGATTTTATTTATTTATTTGAGAGAGAGAATGAGAGAGAGAGTACATGAGAGGGGGTAAGGTCAGAGGGAGAAGCAGACTCCCCGCTGAGCAGGGAGCCCAATGCGGGACTCGATCCTGGGACTCCAGGATCATGACCTGAGCCGAAGGCAGTCGCTTAACCAACTGAGCCACCCAGGCGCCCGCTCACTGCTCTTCTTGAAGGGGACTTTAGATGGGGCAGAGAGGGGGGACCGTGTGTCTTCACGCTGGACGCTGGAGAATCCACGAGGAAGGAAAACAGTCGCGTCCCCCGCCGCCTACTTACTTATTTAAGAAGAAAAATGATGGCTGCTGAAAACCAGAGCAGCCCCCAGGCCCTTTGGTTCTTGGCCCGGTTAGGACAGGCCAGGCAGAGTCCCCCAGCTGCCATCCAAAGCCTCCCTTCCAGAGACACAGATGGAGACACGCGGTGTCTGTCCCCTGAGGTCTGCAGAGCAGAGAACAGCTGCTGTGGACCCAGGCAGTGTGACGTGATGTTTTCTCATGGGAGTAAAAATCTCATTCACAAAATAATCGGAAGCAACCCTGGGGGCCTAGGGGGCTCTTGGGGTGCAGCCTTGGAGTGGGGGGTCCTGGGCTTTCACGGAGTGCAATCTGGGGGGCCCCAAGGTTTCTCAGGGTGTAATCTGACGGGGTTTGGGGTTTCTTGGGGTGCAATCTAAGGGACCCCTGGGTCTCAGGATACAATTCTGGAGGACCCTAGTGTCTTGGGGTACAATCTGGGGGCCACAGGGTTTCTTGGGGGGCAACCCTGGGGGCATTGGTGTTCCTCTGTGCAAGCTATCCTCACTTGTTCCCACTCTAGGCTGGGGGGACCCTGCGTCAGGTACCCCAGGGAATGACAGGAGTGACTCAGGACAGAGAACCGTGGGGGGGGAGGCGGTGCACCGGGGACGTCCTGGAGGCCTGGGGGAGGAGACGTGCACCGCAGACACTCCTCTGCCCTTGGGGGAAAGTGGGTGTGTTCAGGGGAGCTCCTGCCCACCTCTCCTCTGAAAACCTTTAGTGTCCCGGGTTCCTCTCAGACCATCAGAATCTTCAGCTCCCAAAGGTCTGCTCCCCCACCCCTCCTGCCCTATCGGATGCCTTGGATGGGATTGGCACCAGGCCCCAGGGCACAGGCGATCGGGCTAAGGAATCCTGCAGGTCGGAATTCCTCCCTTAGATCTGCTGGGAATACACCCACCTACATTCTTGGACTAGTTTAAAATCTACAGGCTACCCCCCTCAAAAGACAATTTTTAATAGAAAGGAGGTGCTGGTTAATAATGCTTCAGGATAACAAAGCTCTCTTCCTAAATATATACATATCTCCTTCTTAGGCAGTAATTACAAAAACGGATTTTTTTTTTTTTTTTTTAAGCACATTCCTGGACCCAGCCCTGGAATTCGGAGCCCAGGCTCAGGAATCTGGCGGCGTATCCGCCCGCCCCACCCCTGCTGTGATTCTGGTGATCAGCAGGTTGGGAAAGCCACTCCTCAGGCAGAAGATTCTTTTCTGGCTTGGGGGTGGAGAAACCAAGGTGAAGGCTCTAAACAGATCTCGGAACCTGACAACAGCCCGATGGGGTTGGTTCTAGTATCATCCCCATCTTCTACAAAAGAGGAGACCAGGGCACAGAGAGGTTAATTAACTTATCGAAGTCACATAGCGCATCATTGGCCACACCAGGGTTTCAAGGTCAGGTGTCCTGCCTGACTCCCGGCTGTGCTCCCAGGGAGCTCCCAGGTGGAGAAGACTGAGGGGCCCCCTGAGAACGAGCACGTGCCACTTGGGGGGGTGTGCAGGTCCCCCCGCTCTGCAGAGAGGCACCTGAGCAACGGAAGACCCAGATCCGTTGGGCTTTTATCTTTCTCATAGTTGCGCTCAGCCTAGGGAGGCTTGCAAACTTAAGAACCAGAAACAACGCTGGAGCCCCCTGCCTGAGGTCAGGGAAATGTGAGGGGCTGCCTGCTCCGGAGGGGTGACCTGCAGCTGGCGTCGAACCAGGGATGCGCCCGGCCCTCACTGTAAGCAACAGACATTCCTGAGTTGTGGCAGGTGGGGTTTTTATAAATAAATTCTATGTTACATTTTCAAAGGAGTATGTTTAGAAAGAATTCTACATTGACGAATCCTTTGTAAACTAGTACCGTTTGTTAAATAATTCCTGGACTCTGTTGCCTGGGGGGCGGGAGGAGGAGGAAGGGGAGGGGAAGGCTCACAGGCGCCCCCTCCCCTCCCACCTCCCCCCCCAACACCCCGGGGGGCAGCGTCCACCCTGGTGCCGCCTTTCTGCGCTCAGATTCCCATTGCTAATTGCTCCCACCCCAGGCTGTGCCGGGAGGGTCGCTGCTGAGTTTGGGAGCCAGCCGGATGCAGACCTAAGAACATGGCCTCAGAGCCTTCCTATGCGGGGCAGGCCCGTGGGTTGGGGTTCCCTCTCGGTGGAGAGCGCTGAGTGATCATAAAATATCAGAGCGATTCCTTCTGTAATTTATTACTGTTTCCAAGCAAAACAACAAAGCCCCAGGCCCCGGGTCCGGCAGCTGTTACTTCTGTGTTGCTGTCTAGAAACAGGAAGAGGAGAATGCCCCGGCCCTCCCTGGGTCCTCAACCTGGCCCCCGGACCCTGTGGGGGGTCCCCCCCATGGTTGTCAGACCTGGGTTCCCTGCCCCCCCCCCCAGGGTTCCTGGCACTCAGCTCCACCTCCAGCCACCCACCGAGTCCCACCCAGGCCACCGCGTCAGGCCCAGAGCCCAGGGCCGCAGGGAGGCCACCTGCTGGCCTGTGAGGCCCTGGGGTGTCATTGTCACGGCCCCCACTCACAGACCGGGAAACCCAGGCTGCCGGAGGTGGCGGGGTGCAGGTCCAGATTCTGACTCCTGAGCCGAGCACTGCACCTCTGACTTCTCTCCTGCTCCAGCCAGGGACCCTCCAGCTGTCCCCTCCCCTCGGGGCCACCTCCTTGGATGCCCCCACACCGGGCTCCTGCTGGGCCTCTGTGCCTCAGCGTCTGCTCCTTCAACTTCCCCCAAGGGTTACTCGCCCTGCACACTCCGGGTGGCAGGGGGTGGGGGGGCATCTTCACATCATCGCGGCTTCCTAGGAAGACCTTCCAATCAGCCGGAGCCACTGCTCGCTCCTCTGTCCTCCTCGGGAGTGTGGGCTGACGCTTCCGAGGAGGGGAGCTCCCCTGCGTTGGAAGCCTTCAAGCTGAGCCCGGTGAGTGTGTCAGGGACTGTGAAGGGGACAGACGTCCTGGTATGGAAGGCAGAGTTCGGGGACTTTGCAGCCGGAACATTCTGGAATCCTTGATCTGCCTGGCATGGCCCACTGCCACCGATCTCGGGCCCTGGTGTCTCATTGTAGGGATCCCAGAGGCAGGGGTTCACGCCGGCTGAGGGCGCAGGAAAGGTTTGTACGGCGCAGGATCCAGCAGACGTGCGCGTGGACAGATCTGCACTCCCGAAGGCCTGCAGATGCAGGTTCAGCAAAGCATCTAACAGCATCTCACTGCCATGTGCTGATGCTTGTGTTCGTTGAACCTTTGCTGGATGCATGAATGCATGAATGCATGAGTGAGAGAATGCATGCGCCGATGATCTCCGGGTTGTGCTTTAAGCCAGCAGTAGGGGCTTCTGTCCTATTTTGTGAGGCCTCCCATGGCAAAGCACCGTGGACCGGGTGCCTTAAACAACACCTCTTCTCCTCAGGTGCTGGAGGCTGGAGGTCCGAGATCCGGGCGTGGCAGGGCCGGTCCCTCCCGAGGCCTCTCCAGGGCGTGCAGACGGCCGTCTCCTCCCCGGGTCCTCACGGGCTCGTCCCTCCGTGCGTGTCTGCGTCCTGACGTCCTCTTCTGATGAGGACCCCAGTGACACCGGAGTAGAGCCCACCCTAGTGACCTCGTTTTACCTCAATCACCTCTTGAAAGCCCCATCCCCGACTACAGTCCCGTTCTGAGGTCCCGGGAGTTAGGGCTCCAGCATATGAATTTGGGGGATCACAGTTCAGCACAGCTGAAGGAGCATGTGGCTGAGGGTGCAGGGAAGGCCCCACAACACAGGGAGCTGCCCCTCAAGCTCCTTGCAGGTGAGCTCTTGCCTGCTATCCCCACATGGCCTCTTACACGTGGAGCCCTAAGCGGGGCTCTTGTCTGCATTGGTTTGCAAGGTTTTGGTGGGGAGGGGGGTGGGGGGGCCTCTCTGTGTGGCCACAGGGACCTGGTCTCCTCTGTCCTCAGTCTTGGCAGACTCCCGTCCCCGTCTTTGCTCCCGTCTGAGGTGTCAGGCCTGGGATTGCAGACTGGCTTCCAGGAAAACAGGTCTTCCCCGTTCCCCCCCGCCCCCCGCCAACCCCACCCCAAACACATGGGCTCAATGAGGGCAGGAGCCCGCTTTCCCCACTGAAGTCCCCCTCTCTGACTGGGATTCTGTCTGGGGCCCTGCAGGTGGGGCTGTGCGCACGTGTCCGTGGGTCTCTAGGGAAGTGCTCTCCGTGTCCACCTCCCTGGGCCTCTGCCCCAGACAGCTTCATTCTTGTACGGTTTGGTGGGGACATATTACCGTCCGGGTGGTCCATCTGGACTATGGTCAGGAGATGCACGCTTGGCCTGGCCCTTGGTTTGTTGGCCACGGCTGGGGAGCTGACCTCAGCAAAGTTCCCTTCTCTGCTGTCCCAGGCTTGGCTGGGACAGTCGCCAGAGCCTCCCGGGTGCTGAGGCTGCCCAGGGTCAGCACTCCCTGCCCAGCCTCTGTGGGGGAGACTCCTGGGTCTTCTGGGGACCCCTGGCCACAGCTCTGTGCAGGAATCCTGCTTATCTTTTTTTTTTAAGATTTTATATAATTATTTATTTGAGAGAGAGAGAGAGAGAGAGAGAGAGAGAGTGTGTGCATGGGGCGGGAGGGGCAGAAGGAGAGAGAGAAGCAGACTCCCCGCTGAGCAGGGAGCCCGAAGCGGGGCTCGATCCCAGGACCCGAAGATCACGCTCTGAGCTGAAGGCAGACACCTAACCGACTGAGATACCCAGGCGCCCCAGGAAACACTGCTTATCTTGAGATCCGCATCATAATCTGTGCACCGCGCACCCCATGGTGCTTTTGAATTCGGTGCTGAATGTGAGAAAAGCAATTGGAGCATCAGAGGTTGGTACTCATTTCGGTAACCTCGTGGGTTCGCCGATTAGATCACACACAGCATGAAGGAGAGAGGATGGTAAGGAGAGAGGATGGTAATATGTGTGTTTTGATCACAGTCCGTATTGTAAAACACTGTTCGTAAATCCCGTGTCTGGTTTTGTAACGTGTAATGCACCAGGTGAATGGATTATTGTCGTCCTCTCTTATGTCCACAGGATGAAGTTCGGGTGTTATCGAGGCTTTATCCAGGAAATTTCATCTCTTTCGGAATAAACCTGTATTTCACTAAAAGAAGAAGCTTAAGAAGGACGCAGATGTGAAGAGGAGACGGAGGGAAAGAACTTCACACGTCCACAAGTTCAGGTCTGGACAAGCTCCCCGAGCAAGGGGGACCACTTTTTTTTTTGTAGCCAAAAGTTCACAGAAGTTTGGGGGCGCTTGGCTCGCTCCAGGGTGCAGAGGGGCGGTCCGCGGTGACATCTCGCTCTTGGTCATCTGTGGTCGGGGACGCGCGGCTGTGCTTGCATCCATAAGGGAAGCGTTTTCTCCTTCTAGCTCCGATAGCATTTTTTAAAATAAACTTTTTATTTGAGAATCGCTTTAGATGTATAGAAACGTAGCAAGGACGGTGCAGAGTTCCTGGATAGACACCCCCCCCCTTTGCTCTCCCATCATTACCCTGCCTTACACGGTCACCTTGTCGTAGCTGAGGCACCAGGGCTGGGACATCACGCTTAACTAAAGCCCACGGCATATTCGGAGTTCACTCATGGGAGCCCACTGTCCTTTCTCTGTCCCAGAACTCCGCCCAGAACACCAGGAGACATTCAGTCCTTGTGTCTCCTCGGGGTCCTCCTGGCCACCAGAGTTCTCAGACTTGGCTTTTGATGACCTTGGCAGTTTTGACGAGCACTGGTCAGGTGTTTTGTGGACCGCCAGCCCCTCAGTTGGGATTGTCTGGCGTTTCCTCCCGGGTAGGCTGGGGCTCAGGGTGGGCTGGGAGGGAAACAGAAAGGCTGAGTGCCATCCCCACCACCTCATGTCGAGGGCACCTGCTCCCAGCACCACTCACCCATCACGCTGACCTCCTGGCTGAGGTCCGGGACCCCCACCCTCTGCTCTCTCTGCGGGAGCAGCTCAGCGGGGGCAGCCATGCTCGGGGTTGGGGAGGAAGCCCCGTCTCCCTGTCTCCTTGGTGGGGAGCTAGCCCCATGGACCGTTTGGAAATCTGTGAGGGAGATTTGCCTATTCTGATACATTCCTTCAATCAGTCAATCCATCGGGATGGACTCATGGGTATTTATATTTATACTTTGAATTATAACCCCAAACTGTTTCTATTGTTGCTCAAATTGTTCCAGGTTTGGCCACCGAGAGCTCTTTCGTGTTGGGGGCCATGTCCCTCGCACTGCCTCAAGCCTTTTGTGCTCTGAGCACGGCCTCACTCTCTGGCCCTGCATGGTGCTCCAGGCTCAGCTCATGGCTTTCCTGCCTGGACCCAGAACCAGCCGCCTCTCCCAGAGGCCCCGGCTCCTGTCAGCGGGGAGCAGGATTAGCACGGAGGCCCAGGGGCTGGCTTTGCTCACTGTCCCTGGGGTCACTCCTTCCAGGTCTTCTCCAGGGGCGTTTTATTTTATTTTTAACTTTTTTTTTTTTTTTTTAAGAGGAAGAGCGATCAAGCGCAGGTGGGGAGGGGCAGAGGGAGAGGGAGAGAGAGCATCTCAAGTAGGCTCCAAGCCCAGCGCGAAGCCCGATGTGAGGCTCCATCTCACGGCCCTGAGATCATGACCTGAGCCGAAATCAAGAGTCAACGCTGAACCGGCTGAGCCACCCAGGCGCCCCTCTGGTGGTGTTTTAAATAAAGGGTCAAGTGCATTCCACAGGGAGGCTGCCGGCTTGTGTGTGACCGCGGGCAGTCACCTCAGCTCTCTGGACTGGGAGCTGGGCCGGAGGCTCCCGGAGGCACCTTTGCCTTCTTCCACTTTTGGGAGTGTTCTCTTCTGAACACGGAGGGTGGAGTCCATACATTCTCGAAGGTGTGGAGAGCATGTTTCACCCCTCAGGGCACTGGGCTAAATGTCACTTAGCACTCCTGGATGTTCCGGATCCCTCAGAGTTGTTCCTTCTCCCAGGATCACCCATTTATTCAACACTCACCCTCACCGAAGACTCGCTGAGGTCCGTGCACTCAGCAACTGGGGAGGCAAAGACATAACCAGGGAGAAGGGCAGGCAGGAGCGCCAAGGACCACTGCGGTTGTCCTTCGGTGGGGCTGCTTGGACGTAGGAGCGCCGGACAGGTGGGCCCTGCGCCTGCAGGGCGGGAGGAGAAGGTGCTGGCGCCCGAGGCCAAGGGAGGTGGGATGGGGCGGGGGTGGGGGTGGGGTGGGGAGGAGGCCACGCCCACCTGCTCCACACCTGCCAAGAAGGCGCCAGTTATCACCCCTTGGCTCAGACCTCTCTGGAAGCCCCAGCAGGTGGATTCCTGCGCCCTGATTCCACTAGGAATGCGTTTGGCTGCAGGAACAGAACACCCGGCCGTCAGGGCTTCAAAGACGGGCCCCGGATGTCCCGAGCTAGTCCGCCTTGTGGCGGCTTTCTTTCCACTCGGCCGTGGTCATGTTTGTCCTTGTGCTCTTTGCCTCGGGTCTCCTGGGCTCCTGCTCTAAGTGCCACCTGGGGAGGGGCCATCAGGAGGGAGAGCAGTCCCGGCCACCTGCAGGATGGAGCCCAGCTGGGTTCGCTGGGGAGGCTGCTTGTGGGGCAGGGGCAGCTACCCTCCCGTTCTAACCACGGCAGGACAACTGAGAGCCGGTGAGTCATCCTGGAGATGATGCCAGCTCTGGGACAAAGCAGCCCAGTGGGATCTCGAGGTCCCTGTAATAACCGTCCAGATCCCTTCAGTGAACATGGCCGGGCTGCTGGGAGGCGGCCCCGGGCTGTCAGCTTCCTTTGGGGACGGCCTCAGGGGCAAAGGGTGGCCTTCCCGGGGTGGCCCACACCCGAGACTGACCCGTGTGCTCCAGGACAGCTCCCACAGCACCGGCTCCCGCTTGGCATGCCTCCCTCCCTCCTCCCGGGGTATGACCCTGCTCAGATCTATCTCAGAGCCCACGTCCGTGGCTCTAGCAGTGACACAGGTTGGGGGCTACCAGGGCTGTGGCTGCAGGAGATGGTGTGCGCGTGCAGTTTGGCAGAGAGGGTACCAAGATTCCACAGGTTCGGGAAAGTCTCCGGGGAACAGAAAAGTTGAGGTGCTGCGTTGTGGCTATAGCCTTGGGTGTTTGGGGAGAGAAGCATAGGGAGGCGAGGGGGCCCTGTCCCAGCAAGCTCTAGAGGAGCACGGTACCTAAATGCATCACACCGGCTTGTGGTCCCGCTCTGGCCCTAGCGCCACGGGTAAGTGCATCCCGTGTCCTGCTTCCTGCTGCCCCTTCCAGTGGCTACCTGCAAAATGTTACTTTTCAGGGCAAGGAAATCAGAAAATTATCCACGTCATTGCCCACATGCTGCCTTTGATCCAGGGATACTGAATAGTCAGACTTTGGTGGTGGCCAAGGCCATCGTCATGGTAACGACAAGCTTCCAGAAAGTTCTTTCAGAACTCCCGTGGGAAGGAACAGAGGGGCTCTGGACACTGGAGATGCGGCGAGCCGCCCGGCCAGACCCGCGCCTGCCCCCTCTGCAGGGCTGGGAAGGGAGTGGCCGTCTTGGTCTGAGACTTTTGTTTTCAGATTTGAGATATTTTTGGATGGGTAAGAATGGAAAATGTGTGTCCCTTTTTCAGATAATTGCAGCATGCCCTGTTGTTGTTCAAGTTCTTGGAAACTCAAAATTGTGGGCTGGAAAGTGGGAGTTCCTGGACCTGGGAAGGCCCCCTGCGCCAGCCTCTGGGCAGGTGTGGGCATCTGTATTTCGGTGGATCAGGGAGCCAACTGCTCGGGCTAACGGCGAATGCACGAGAACACCAGGTCCAGTGTGCCTCCTCCCCTCTCAGGCTCTGCGGAGGGATGTATGAGGACAGACACTGTCTCAATAGGCCTCCAAGTGTCCACAGTCCCAGAAAACAAGGGGGTGGTTGGGGCCGACCAACTGGCAAGGGGCAGCAGGGTGGGTGGGACTGTTTGGCTTTGAGGGAGAGCAATTTGAGGAGGGAGAGCAATTTGAGGAGGGAGATTTTACGAGAGGCTGCCTGGCAGGGGTGAGACCCCCAGCTTCCCAGCAGTGCAATCATGGGCAAGCTTATTGGCCTTGCCCCTGCAGGTGGACGTCCTGGTATCTTTTGAAGTTCAAGGTCACTTAGTCGTTCAGCCGACAGGGACCTGGACATTGCGACAGAGCCTGAGACACAGGATGGATAGACGTGTTCGGCCCTGGGGATGGTCCAGCAAAGAGACGAGTCGGCACAACGGTGCCGGATGTATGGGCGGGACAGGGCAGCGTGGAAGAAAGTTAAGAGAAGCTTGTTGGCCTGATGGTTCTGGATCGTTATCATGTTCTGTTGCCGAACAGCTGGGTGACCTTGGGCAGGTTACCTACAATTTCAGCTTGTTTCTCTATGGGTACAAAGAGGATCGTAATAACACCAGCCTCCGCCCCATTTAGGGGTCCCTCTTCCGCTGAGACTCCTTTTCTGGTACCCCCTGCCTTGTCCTGCGGGCCGTTGGTCTGGGGTCTCCTAGAGGGCAGGAAAAAGGTCTGTTCTATTCCTGAGTGCTCTGGAAGCATTTGCCTCAGGACATGAATGCCCAGCTCCGTCTGAGGAAGAGTTATGGCTTTTGACCTCTTGAGAAATCATGCTACCCTCTAGAGCAAGGCAGGGGTTGCTGGTCTTTCCAAGAGGCATTGTAGGGTAGGAGTGAGACTGGAGCGGGGTTCAACCTCTGCTCTCAGTGATGAACCGAGGAGGGTCCCCACAAGGCAGGACAGGGGGGCCCGGGTAGGTTTGGGTGTCCATCCCCGATCAGGGGCGGAGCCTAGTAACCGCACCTTAAGATGTGTGCAGCCCTCCCCAGGTGGGATTCTAAGAGAATTTGATCCCAGTGGCGGCTACAACCCCTGTCTCTCTTCTGAAGGATGTAGGGTGGGTGTGTTCTCACATGTGCTTTCCTCATGTGCGGGGCTTCCCGCACACTCTTGTTGACACTGTTCTTTTGCCTATGAGGAACAGCATTTCTAATTCTGCAGAAGGCTGTGTGTTTCCCAGGGGCATCTTCGGAGGGTACTGCCCATTACCCGGATTTCACTAATGGGAAAACAGAGGCTGAGAGACTGACTGCAGGATGTTTGGGTCTCCGGGGATGCTGGAATTTCTCTGCCTCTCCTCCCAAGGATCCCTCTGGCCTGGGACCTGCTCTCCTAAATGCTCCTGGACAGCCTAAATCCTGCTGGTTTCCCCTGGCTCATTTTAAGAAGTCACCTGACTTTTAAAGTCTTCCCCAAGCCCTCCCTCCATTGGCCGGACCTTCCAGAGACTTCTAGAGCATCTTGCGCTTCGCCCTTCATGGCTGTGCGGCTTTATGTCTGCAGGACCCTGCTAAGAGTGTAAGCTACAGGCGGGGAGCGAGGCCTGGGTTCCCAAGAGCACAGTAATCACAGCGCGGAATGAATGAATGAATGAACGAATGAGTGAATGAGTGAGGGGGTGAATGAATTAACCGGTTTTGCAGGGATCAGGACTGCAGCCTCCCTCCGCCCCCCACTTGCGGCGCGTGAACTCTCGGAGCAGGGGCCCCCCCGAGTGAGTCCACCATTTGGCGGTCCCTCCGGGCCCGGCGGGGAGGTCCCGGGGCGCACGGGGGCGGGCCCGCCCGGCGCCCGCAGGGCTGGGCGCTGAGGCCAGGTGACCGGCGGCCGGGCGCGGCGGTGGCGATTGCCCGCGCCGCCTCGAGGGGGCCCTGCGGCGGGCGCGGCGGCGAGCCAGGAGGACGGCCTGCCCGCGCGCTGCTGCGCTGCTCGGCGCCCGGCCTGCTGCGGCCATCGCCCCGCCAGACCCGCCGCTCGCCCAGGTACGGGGCCGCACCGCCGCCCGCTTTGTTTCGGGCCGGCGCCCGCGAATGCGCGCCGGGCGCGGGGAGGGGCTGGGGCGCGCGCGGGAGCGAGCCGGTCCGGGGTCCCGGGACCGGGCGCTGGGCCGGCGGCGCGGATCCGGACTCCGGATCCGGGTGCGGGTCCGGAGGCGCGGCCGGAGCGGCACTGCGCAGCGGCGCCCGGCGGACTTCGCTCTCTGGGACGCGTCCCGAGACTGCAGGGAGGAGAGCCGAGCTTGGGGCCCTCTCCGATCTCGGCAAGCAGGCTCCGTCCCCGTCCCCGTGCTGGGCGGGAGGGGGGGGGTGCCCCGGGCGCTCCCTCCTTCGGAAGGAGCAGGATCCGCGGGCCCCGCGCCACCTGTGGCACGTGCCCCCCGGCCCGGTCGCTGACAAGCCGCCGGGGGGAGGGTCCGGGCGCGCTGGGCGCGGGCGGGGGTCTGCGTGCGGGTGGGCACCGCGGCCTGACAAGGGCGCTGGGGCTTTGCTTGAAGTGATATGAAGATCAATGTGTGGCGGGAAGGGATTCCAGAGCTGCACTCGATTCTTAAGACAGCGCTAGAGGGTGACACCCCCCCCTCCACGGTGGTTAATACCAGCGCCCTGGGATGTGTGGGGCCAGCAGGGAGCACTGTTGAGGGTGGTCACTGCCTACTTACCCAAAAGCCCCCATCCCGAGGGGGGGGGGTCCCAGGCCTTCACACACTTTGACTTTCTGGGGGTTTTCACTACCTGTGACATGAATGCGTGAGCTTCCAAGACTAAAAATATACTGAGAAGAACGTGCAAGTTTTCATTGCATTCATTGCACTAATATGAATATTGCATTAATATCTCAGTGCCTGATGAAACGGCCTTCAGAACTAGCCGTTTTGACATTCTGGTGTATTTGCTGTGTGCCCCCATTGCTGTATTTGAAGTGCGGTACTTCTTGGCCCTTTGAAAGAGATTTGCTGTCCTGTGATTCTCCCCTCTTTAGGCCCGGGGAGGTTATATTTGCAAATCAATCAACAAGTATTAAGAAAGGCGTTTCTGTGGAGAGGTCTGGAGGGGCCCAGGAGGGGCCCCGGAGTCTCTGCAGCTGGTGGGTGGAGGGAGCAGGGCCGGGCCGCGGGGAATGAGGGGACCTTTGTGCACTGGTTACTGACTGGGAACCGGCAGGAGGCCAGACTCCTGACCTCAGAGACAAAGTAATAGTAACTTACTTTGCAATCTTGCAAAGGAATGGTGACCTCAAAGTATAGCGCAGTAAGAGCAGGTACTTCTTGAGTGCTTGTGCTAAATGTTTTGCACGCGTTCCTTTTGCATTTCTTCCAAATGGCAACCCTCAGAGGGAGCTGCGATTTTGCCCCATTTTACGGGTGTGCAAACGGAGGCAAAGAACAGGCTAGGTGTCGTGTCCAAGTTGATGAAACGGGGTGGCGCAGCCCAGGGGCTCGGCACGCCTGACCGAGTGGATGCATATTCTGACAGCAGATTCCTCAGCTGAGATGCCAAAGCTCACAGTAGCAGCAGAGGAATTCTTTGCAAAACTCTGAGAAGGCAGAAAAAGTGGTAGCCGCAGCTGAACTGTGTGCTCCTGGACGCAATTGACTACTTTTACAAAGTGTAGCTTTGGCACCTAATGGTTTCAGATGGAGCAACTTACAAATGAGACCCTGGGAGCTAAAGGTTACAGGGTGAAATATGTTCCTGCAGGGGATGTTGCTGATGAGGGAGAGGGGGGAGGTTTAAAAAAAAAATAAAAAGGCCTGGGAAGGAGGCAAAAACGCAAGAAAAGGCCACGGCAGAAAGGCACTGTTGCCATACTGCCCCCCACCCCCATGCATTCAAGATCGCTTCCATCCAAGTGCTGCTGAACGGGACTTGGCTTCTCTTAGGTGCGGTAAATGTTACGAATCTGTTCTACTGGGTTGAGTCCTTAGAACTAAGGGCTGGGTCACCGCAGCCCACAACTGTTCAGGCTAGGAACAGTTACTTCTTGATGTCTGTTCCTTTCCTGTAAAAGCAGGAAACGTGAATCTCCAGGTTTCTGGGACTTCCTGTGGGACCCTGCCTATGGGGACAGTGTTTGGTGATCGCCCACATCTACGTGTGGGTCCTCTGGGGGTCCGCCCCATCCATGAGGCGGGCCCTCCTGCAGGCACGTCGCGCTGTCCCTCTCCTTGTGCACTTGGGGACGTCTGGGTCTCGGCTGTGTGTCTGGTGCTGGTGTAGTCCTGCGGAGTGTTCTGGAAACCCCCCCCCCCTGGGGGGGCTGCCTGTGCTGAATTGGGAGGAGGAGGCCAGTGAAGGCGAGGATTACCACCACCTGGGGCCAACCTTAGAAACCGCCAGAGTGCCCCCCTGTGTCACTGAGGGGGTGAGGGTCATCCATGATGACCCCTACACATTTTGAAAAGAGTTACGTTAATTTTTTAAAAAAGAAGGCGGTGATCTGGTATTAATAAATTTTGTCCTGAGTGGGCTAAATTAATGACAAATTTATGTTTAAGGAGTCATGGTCAGTAATCAGGAAAATTCCCTCCGGTGGAGCATTCTCTGATCAGGGAAGGGAGGTGTTCCTCGCGGCCACCAGCTCCGGGAGAGCAGCCTTTCCAAGGCGTTCCTGGGCTGGGCAGGAAGCCTGGGGGCCCCCTCTCTCCGGGAGCTTCCCCCTGCACCCAGCCTAGTGACCTTGCAAGAACAACTAACTCCCTTTGAATGCACAGCTGTGCTCACCGACGCGGGGCACTTGCTGGACGGGATCTGATCTTCGCCCAGCCTCGCAAAGGCGTGGTTTTTGTCTGTATTTTCCAACACTGGACCCTGAGACTCAGCGAGCTTGACTAGCTTGCCTATGTCATGGGGCTGGTGGGTCTGGGGACAGAACCTGTCCTGCCTTGGCCACCAGGGGCTGAAGACTGTGAGTGGATGGCGTGGCGTGGTCCTGGGGGGCTTCCCGGATTGGAACCCAGGCCCATCTGCAGTACTGGGACTTCTTCCCGAGTCCAGGGGTCCCCACGGTTCCCTGTGAGGGGCCGGCGAGGTGACCCCAGTTGGCAGGGCTCCCTCTGCAGCTGCTTCCTCGGATAGGGAGGCTGTGTCTCTCTCTGCTCCTCTCTTCCTTCCTCCCTGAGCTCTCATTGTGGCACGTGGGGGGCTCCCGCCTTCTTCTTCCTCTGCTCTGGAGAGATGGTTATGCTCCGCACCCGTTGCAGCGCCGGCTTTGTTCTTCAGCGTTAGGAGACGTCTGTGGGACCCTGTTCCAGCTTCCCAAGCGGGAAGCAGCTGGTTCACCCCCTCCCGCCCCCGGGGCCGGCTGCATCCACGGGCACCATCCGTGCTGCGCCCGTGGGCACCGTCCAGGCCACTGAGGGCCTCGGCAGCACTTGCGGTGCCCAGAGGCAGCGGCCGGGTGTGCCCGGGTGACATTTCAGCGCAGACTTTATGAAACTGGCCCGCCAGCCGTGCAACCACTCCCTGAGGTTTGGAAGACCCGAGAGCGACTGAGTAGCTCCGAGCCATGGGAGCAGGCAAGTGCTCTGGGGCGCGGCCGGTGGCTGCTTGCAGGGGAGGCCTGCCAGAGTCAGGACCCCGCTCCTGCTGGTGGCCCACAGCTGCAGGGTGCCGCGTGTCACTCATCGGGAGCGGGGCCGGCCCACATCTGGCCGGCCAGCGAGGCGCCCTGGGGCCGGGCCGGGCCATTAGCGGGGCGTCTGCGTTCTGTGCACATTCCTCCCGGAGCTGGGGCCGCAGTGCTGGCTCCCGGAACAAAAGGGCTCCATTGACTCGGTCCTGGCCTTCCTCCCTCCGAATTCATCACCTCTCAGGGGTTTCGGGAGGCTCATTCCCTCCCCACTGGTGATTTTGGACGCAGATCAAAGGCGCGGTTCAGGCAGCCCGCTGGGAGGAAAGAGTGGGCTCTGGCGGCCACAGGCTTGGGGAAAAGCCGCCCTTTGTCGCCGTGAGTGTCCTTGGGGTTTCCCACCTGCAGCCTGGGGCCTCGCTGCCCCTCGCGGGACCCACCCCGGCAGGCCCCACGGGGCTGTTTTGTGTGACTCGTGGTGCTGGGGTGTCCCTCCCTGGCCACTGCTGACTCTGGTCCTGCTGAATGTCCACAGCCCCCGGGGTCTCCTGCTGGAACACCACTTCCTCATTCTTGGAGGCGCTATCTGATCCCCCACGGGGGACCAGCCCTGTGATAACCGGAGGAGGTGGTGGGGCACCTTTGTCCTGCTGATCCGGGACAGGTGTGTTTCCAGTTCATCACTAAAAGATCTGAAGCGCCCGGTGGGTGGTGGGCGGGGGGTGAGGGGAGGGGGCCTATCTGTGCTGTCTCCACTGGGAGGGGGGCTGAGCGAGGCCGGAGGGGCATTTCCTCCTGTCCCGGGGCCCACGAGGGGAGGGGCACTTGTCATCTATACTGCTCAGGGGTAGGAGAAGCTTCCCGGGTAATGGAGGTTTGAGCTTCTTAAGCTGATTTTTGAGTCTTTTCCTGCAAAACCATTTTCCTGTGCTCTCTGGTGGCTGTAGACTTGGAGAAATGATGCTGCGTACCAGCCGTGCTTTTTGAGTTGACTGTACCGAGATCCCGCGTGTCACTCTGTGCCTGGCATTTCAGCACCAACAGGGCAGTGACAGCACGTCCCCTCTTGTAACCACCTCTGCGTGGGCGTGGGGGTCGATGGCTGCACGGTGCCCCAGGACGTGGACGCACGGTAGTGGACGTGATGACCAACTGTGCTCCGGCCGGGTGCCACCTGCGTGCAACCTTGCACGGAGGTTCTTGAGCAAGACTCTGGCTGGTCATGTTCCTCGAAGCACTTCCAAGTCTGGCCGAGAGGTCAAAGAACACAAACTTTTTTTTTTTTTTTTATTGTGGTAAAATGCATAGAACATAACAGTTCCCATTTTAACTATTTTCTTTCTTTTTTTTTTTTTTTTTTGAAGATTTTATTTATTTATTTGACAGAGACACAGCGAGAGAGAGAACACAAGCA